TAAACTTCAAAAAAAAAAAAAAAAAAGTAAAGAGAGAGAAAAGGAGAGAATACTCAATAATGTATAGTCATAAGTCATAGATATAAAAGATACCTACGAATAAATTATTCCATTGTCCCACTTTAAAAACTACTTTATTCCAAACAAGAGGAGGCAGACCCATACCCCAGTTTATTCTTTTCCTCCTTCAACCCATTTCCTCACCCAAATGACCCCTAAATCCTCCAAAGTTTCAGTTCTTATTCAACCTGATTAAAGCATAGCACATCATGGAGAACCAAGCACAAATATGAGAGATTCAACAGCACGAACACTTTCCAAAGCTGAGAGAAAAAGGAGGAGAGAAATAAAAGCTTCGGCAGATACATCATCATAGATATACTGAATCTTATTGTACATTTGTTTTTTTACGAACATGCAAAGAACACAAGTAAACATCTCCGACACAGTGCCATCAAATCCACAAGCAGAACAAACTCGAAACCAGAATTCATCATCACACCATAATAATAAGAAGCAGAACGATCCATCAAGCTCACCATCTAAGCAGAGGAAGTGGCAGCTGGTGCTCCTAATTCCAATACTTTCTTCCCCAGCTCCACTTTGTCAGCACCCACAATCCTGTGAACTTCCGCCCCTCCTTTCAGGAAAACAAAGGTCGGCATTGCCGTGACCTCGAACTTTTGAGCAATTTCCTGCAAATAAATAGGAACCATTGCTTGATAAGAAAAGATAAACTAAACGAAACAGTTCCATTCCACTGCATTAACTGTCCCAAACAACAGAGTTGGTATGATATGATAGTTTGGTAAGAGTTGAAAGGGCTTAGATTACTGTACTTTTAAGTCATCAACGTCCACTTTCAGGAAAACGACATTGACGTGCGCCTTAGCCATCTCTGCGAATACTGGAGCAATGAAACGGCATGGCGGGCACCAGGAAGCAGTAAAATCCACCACAATCTAATAAAAAGAATTTTAGAAACATCAGGAACAAAAAATTAACCCCCAAAACTACAGTCAAACCAGAAAGAAATCATCAAGTTCAAAGACTTCTAATAAAAAGGACACGAAGCGAGAAACAGAGAATAATTGAAGAGTAAAATTGTGAAATCTGATATAAACTCAAAATATTCCATAAGCGATCAAAAGTCCTATTAGCAATTTCAACACTACAATCGAAATAAGCAGCCAAAATTGAAGAAATTAGACTGATAACTAGGCACAATCATACGTAACTATCAGAAACCCTAACGAATCAATCACGGATCTTCCCAGATCATCGAACAATCTAAACAATAACAATAATAATGCAGCAGAAATTGTGATGACATGAAAAATGCTTCGATATACCTACGCGCCAAATCCAAAATTCCATCGAAATCACATACGAAAGTCAATCAATTCGAGAGTAGAAATGGAGAGAACGAAAAATAAAAAATCATACCAGTTTACCAGCCTCGATTCCTTGCTTAACAAGCGCATCGAATTCTTCAACCTTACGAACCACAATCACTTGTCCTTCTGCAGCCATTGGTTCAAACAAAAAATCGGTGTCTGGTAGAAGTCGTCCCTGATTTTGAAAATGAAGCGATGAAAGAGACGCTTTGGGACAGGAGGGTTTATATAGAGAGAGGAAAATGGCCCCAGTTTTCATTTGTTCCATTTTACCGAAATACCCTTAAGAGTTGACTTCTACCAAAGTGAGCGCAAATGGCAATAATGTGAATGCATTTATATCTAATATCGTCGTTATCTCCAATTGAAACGCATTTAAAATAATAATAAAAAAAAACATAAAAATAATAAAGAATTTAATTTAATTTTGATTTTAAAATGGCAGTCTTCGAATTATCAGCTTCCAACGTTTTTCGTCATTTTCTCTCCATTAATTTCTTTTCATAATTACGGTGGGACCCACCGTTATAAACGATTTTTTTAATTATTAAAAAAAATTTAAACTTTAAATTAATTGAATAAATAAATAAACTTGCCTATGGGCTACGGCCCATGAAAGACGAATGAACGGTGAAAAATGGGTACAACATTGTCTTCGCTTTGATGTGGGCTTATGGCACGTGTGAATTCGGCCCATTAACGAGTAAATATTAATCACATTTTTTAAAAGGGAAATAGGAAAAATATCGTCCACAAAAAAAGGAAGGTTGTTGAAATATATATTTTATTCTTGAAATTCCTCGCTCCCGAGGAATCGAAGATAATAGTATTTAATAGGGACTTTGGGCCATGGATCCAACAAGACTTGGGCCTCCGTCCATCACCGAACCCACTTTATTTGGCCCATGTCCACAAAATTTAGTCCGAACAATAACCTTAAATTTTCAAAAAACTAATATATATATATATATTTAATCTTTCAAAAAAAAATTAATATCTTTATTTAAATTTAATTTTTTTATTGTTAGTAATGGAATAATAATAAATAAATTTTTTTATATGTATATTAACGAAAATAATTTAATTTTCTATAAGAATATTAACCCTACTTTTAAAATTTCGTATATTTTTAAAAAAAAATTCAATAAAATATTAATTATTTTTATCCGATACTAATTAGAAGGGTAGTTTTTAATTTTTTTTAATATTAAAAGTTAAAAAGTTATTTTTGAAAATTTATTATGAATTTAGCTTAAAACTAAATTTAAATAACAGCCGAAAAGTCGAGGAAGATAATACATTGTACACCTTATCCATTTCGTGAAAACCGAGGAAGATGGCCCCACCAGATTCATGTGGGGCCCACCAAACAGAACAAGTTTTAATTCCACCTTCCTTCTTCCTTCCATTCCCCAGGTTTTATCCTCCCAAAGCCCCTTGAAATGAATTCCTATTTTAAAACAATAAAAATAAAAATAAATAATTAATTAATTAATTATGCTTTGAATTTATGAAACATCAAGATGTCTCTGTCTCTGTCTCTCACCCCTTGGTCATGGGTCATATCCTGCGAATGTGCTCCTATGGTTCGCTGTCTCTGGATACGGTCTAAATACAGTGACAGAGAAAACCCTAGAGAGAGAGAAGAGAGGGAAACTGGAGGTTTTGTTGTAGAGACCAAAATGAGGCCATGTGTATGTAAGACAGAAACCCAGAAGAGCAGCTCATCGCATGGACACGATTTATTCAATTCTTCTTGCCAAGTATCATCCACATCCCTCCGCCGGCCACGTTTCATCCTCCTCCCACTTTCTCGCTCTAACTCCAATTCTTTTATACTCGCCTTCCATTCACATCCCCCTTGCAATCTTCTCATCCATGTTGAAATCAAGCAAGCAAGTTAAAAGGTCCCCTTCAGCTTCCCATGCCACTTCTAGAAAGGGCTGTATGAGAGGCAAAGGAGGCCCTGAAAACGCTTCCTGCACTTATAAAGGCGTGCGCCAGAGGACATGGGGCAAATGGGTTGCTGAAATTCGAGAGCCCAATCGCGGGGCTCGTCTTTGGCTTGGCACGTTCGACACTTCCCATGATGCTGCTATGGCTTATGACAATGCCGCTAGGCGTCTTTATGGCTCTGAGGCTAAACTCAATCTCCCTCATCTTTCCCCCAATTTGCAGCTCCATAATCACCCTCTGCTTCTTCCTGGCTCTGTTTCCTCTTCCTCCGACAGTGCGGCTGCCACGGTGGAAGATGTCGGGTCCATCAGCTCAGCTCCCCATGACAACAGCAGCAGGATGAGATTTGGAGAGGAGGAGGAGGAGGAGATTGGGGGGCTTTGGAGATCGATGAGTATTAGCTTGGATGATTCCATTTGGGCTGAAGCAGCCATGTCTTTGGATTTTCCTGTCGTGGAAGATCGGGATCGTCAAGGCGTTTTTGCTGCTGATTTTGTGGATTCTAATGGATGGGATACTCTCCAATGGTGTTCTTGATATCCATGGAAGAATCTTAAATTTGTAATAACTGGGATTGTATTATACACTTGCCTTTTTTTTTTTTTTTTTTTTTCC